GCATTCCCGCATCATCGGGGCTCTTGGACCTCTACGAATTAAAAAATGAATAGGTATGCATTGAATATCTCGATTTTCAGGATAGGTCCCCCAAGAAGTTTCTTTAAATCTGGTCCCTTTTCCCCGTACGAAATGCCACCTAATTGAAATTAGTCTTTGACGGCTAATTTTCCAAAAATTGTGTCATAAACTAGTGCTCGGATTAGGACCGCGACTACCACAAGCTCCACTGCATCTTGGCAAGCATTTTTGTGTTGTCTCGTAAACATGCCCGCCAGAGTTTTGATCCTTAATGCCGAATGCAATACTGCTGTGTTTCACTGTCAGAAGCTCAGCAGAACTACAGGCCACACCGTCCTTGCCACGCACGGACTTCAATGTTCCCTGGTCCCCAGACCAGGCTCGATCAAATGTTGTGTTCACTCAGCATTCTCCGATTGACCTTTGAACTGACAGGCAGTATCAACCCAGACGGGTCACTTGCTTGGTCCGGCCTCTGCCACCGTGTCTGGAATCGAAGGTCGCTGTACGGGATTCTTCCTTGGTATGATGTGGGAAGAAGCCTGCGATGCAAGTTTGAACGTCACATCACAAGTACAGGTACCTGATGGGGCAGATGAAGGTTTGTAGCCCCATAGCTTTAACGTGGACAGAGAGACATATCCTTGAACGACCGTGGGTCACAGGTGACTAGCGGCAAGTAGCATTCTTGCATGCGTTTTCTGCCTATGTCGGATTCTCAACCGTGCGGCGGGGCATGTGGATTGCTTGAACAGCTCTCGTGCAGACAACATCATGACATGAGAGCAGGTTGTAGCCCACCAGAGTCGTGCGGCTGGACGCTGGCATTGGTCGCTGCTGAGATGCACGCATCCCATTAAGCTGGCGCAATCTGCGGTGAAATTTCCAGGGTCTGGGACGTGGACATAAAAAGGTGTATCCGTCTTCGCACCTTATTCTATGAGACGTGCTGCTACTTTACCACCCAACCTGTTACAGCTCAGGAAGCACGCATACCTTCACAAATCATCGCTTTCCTGGAGACTGACCTCCTGCCAAATGGCGGACAGCTAACACTCAGAACAAATGATTTCCGTGGACCTGATCTGGTCAAGGGTGCCTCTGGTGGCACATGCAGGATTTGTCCTGCCAGCTATAGTAGAGAGACATCCGCAGCCATGCAGTGTATAAGGCAGAACCTACGAGTACGCACTGATGCAGACCGAAAGCCCAGCTACATGGCTCCCAAACAAGCTGATTCGTTCTACTTTGCTTTGCTTGATGGTTAGATAGGCTCAGGAGCTGGAATCAACCCTGACGACATAAAGCACGTGAGATGCACAGAGCTACAGAAAAAGGTACACGTGACTTGAGACGATCGTGATGACAACTCACGATACAAATTCGAAAATGGCTCAGCGATGAACACGGGGACTTAGGGTTCAGTTGCACCAAGGCCAAGGACGGAATCTGTGCGTGCAGGTGAGCTGATCGTTGGTGTTTTGTAAGGAAAAAATGGCAGATCTCATCAGCTCTGCTCCTGCAAATGTCGGCGAAGCTGAGAGCCTGGGAGCAAAAGTAGCAAAATCAGATCGGCTTCTTGGTCGAGCATGGTGTGCTGCTACACGCCATCTGCAACACGGTGCTATGGTAAGATTGCTGAGGGGGGTTCAGCTATGCTCCAGGTTTGTTGCTGATGCACCGCCGATGGATGGCATGGTGGCCATGAACCCTCAGTCGGGCTTTGCGGTCACCACGCCGTTTGCAGGAACCACAACAGGCTGGGTGGATGAAGCGCTGGCCGAGAACACCTTTGCCTTCTATGTTTTCCCATTTGAGGAGAGGCTAGGCAGCAATCATCAGCAGCCGCTGCATTTATCAACAGATGTTCGTCTTTTGATCAAGTTGCCTGTCAAGGACAGGCGTGATTGCCTCTGATGGTTCTGGAGGCAAGGCAGAATTGTCTCAGCTTTTATTATCGTGTAGGAGCCAA